CTTTTGTATCTCCTCCCTTTTCTTTTTCTTTTGTATCTCCTCCCTTTGTGATCAGCAGGCTGGAATGGTGTAGCTGGGCATTTGTGGAAAGAAACATATTTCATTGGTATGTTCTAGATTTTAAAACTACATAGGAAGTAGTCACAGATGCTTAAGCACTTTGCATTAAGAAGAATTTGCAGTGATTTGCCTGACTGCCCATTCTCCGGATGTGAGCCTCAACACTGAGCATTGCCCCATGGGGATATAATGATTGAGCTCCCAGTCCTCTGCAGATAATCTAAACCTTTTTACTCTCACGAGGGGTCCTGCAGCTCACTGGAATGCAAGAGCACAAATGGATTAGCCAACTCTGGTTGGGCATATTTCTGGATGTGCCATTGCGTGACTTCAAATCCTGCCAGCCCATCTTCAGGGTGCATAAACTTCACACACCAATTGTAAGGTACACCTCTTTAGTTAATTGAATGATTCCTGTTAGACCAGCAGCACATTTTCCATCTTCAGTATCTTTATAACTAATGTATTTGAAGGTTTTTTTCTTAAAAAAAGACATAATCTTTAATGCCCTTGTAACTTTTCTCATGGGCTGACCTACATGGAAGACTGGTAAACATGAATGAAAAATCGCTCTGACTGAGAATCTAAAGCAGGGTCTTCAGGTTTATATTATGGTTCACCATCCCATTCAATGTGTCTTTACCTGTTAGACAAGTAGAAGAGATTTGGTGGGATTGGGGGAACTGATTGTGTCATTTTAAATCCCTTTTTACAGTGATTGTACTAGAATTTATAAATGCAGCAAAATACAGATTTTTTTGAACAAAATGTAAGTGGCAGAATGGAGTGTAATGGTTGCTTGTGAGCAACAATGATTTACCAACATCAGCATTCACTGTGACCTGACAATAACTATCCGCAAGAAGTTTGGTCACAAATGTCGCAGATGAATTTGACGCAAATATTGTTCTATAATTGTTACATACAAGTTATCTTTTATTCAGTAATTCATTTTAACACGTGAAATTAGCATGATGTGTATGTAGTATATGATGCATTGTTTTGTTCAGTTTGGTTAAAATTTTTTTATTGCTTTGCTACAATTAGATGAATAATCTATAACATACCTAATGACCTTGACATCTGTCAGTGAAACCAGATAATCGTCATAGATTGCTGTTTTACTATCTCCTTGTCCTGGCCACACCGTGCAGCTATGTCTTCTCCTCAGTATTTTTTTTAAACTTTACATCACCTTCATTCTGTTCCTGATTTGAAAACATTGAACATTTGATGTCCCTTTTTTATCCCTTCAGTAAAACGATTTGAACTCTGTTTAATCTGTTTTACAGCAGAATTAACTTTTTTGATTCCCAAAATCTAACTGCATTCTGAATCTTGAGTTCTTTGTGATTCTTTGCAAACTGCTGGAATGGTAACTAACTCGCTTAACACTCTTACCACCCCATATTGCTCATCAAAGAGTGTTTTGCCAGTTTAATGATATCTGCATCTTGAAATCTGGTGTGCTACATACACATTCACAGCAATTACCAAAAAAAATGTTTTATAGATACCTCTGATTTAATCAGTATGTCTCTTTCCTTCACTCAAACACTTGTCTCATCGATGTTCCCTTATTGTGTTGTCTAACTGCTTCCAGTTTGCCTTTGAGTTCAAACCACAGTGACTTTTCTTTTGCTTCACATTTTACGTATGCTCCTTAATTTTATCCTGGTAAACGTGCACGAATCAAAAACAGGAATCCAATTTTGTATTACACGTCAAGTCTACCTCCAGCAATTGAGAATTTTATAATGCTACTTAGATGTTCAAATACCATCATCCCTCCTTCATGCCAAAGTCCATTCCCAGAGTATGATCAGGCTAGACACTGCCGGTCTTGGCCTTTGAACTTGGCAGTGTCTAATGTCAATTATAATAGGGTATATTGTAAGCACATGTTTTAAACTGCAATGCAGTTTCTCAAAAACTGGTAGAAGCAGATAATTAAGTAAATTGAAGTGGCTGAAATTGCGATGCAAGGGGACATAGTTTTGAAATGGGACAAATTGGGTAACAGTTTCAAAGAGCCGTCAGAGAAAGTTTACTGTGTGGTTGTATAAACTCGGAACCACCTACTAGCACGCATCAGTATTCAAATGCTGCTCCCAGGCTGGTAAGCTCATTCGTTGAAAGGTTCTCAAGATTTGGCCTTGGTAATCTTTTAATTTCCTTTATTTAGCCCATCATTTTTGTGAAGGCTGTTTAAAGGGGCTCCTAATTTGTCCTATTCTCTGTTTATGTTGCCATAGCACTGCAATTTTAGCCCCTTCAGTTTATTCAATTGTAATTCAATTTTGCTTCTACCAATTTTCAGGTTCCTGCACTATTTGATACGGTTCAGGTCTTTTTTACTGCATGTGTCTCTCTGTTTACAAGCCTGTGAAGCCTTCTCCCTCCACTCCATGGATAACCTATTGGACCACAGTAGATAGTGTAGCCCTGACTTTATTGAATCTTTTATGCGTGTTCGTTGTTTACGGAGGTTTGCTGGCATGTACCAACAGTTGCTGAAAGGAAAGATCGCAACAAGTGATCACAAGTCCAGAAACAATAGTGACTGATCAAAAATCAGTTGAAACAATGACCGAATCTTACCAACATTCTGCTAGCGATGAGGAACTTAGTTTTATGGACGTTGCGAGTTAAAACTTTGCCTCTTCAGAAACCTAACATTCTTAAGCAATGAAAGATTCCAATGTATTCATTGACCTGTTTTATGTGTGGTGTATATCTGTTCACGCGGTGTCAGTGCACAAACTGCTTGTCATGTAAGTTTCCCTTTTTATCAATTTTCAACCCAGTTATTTGGTTGTATACAATTATGGCCAGCTGCTCATCTTCAGATTCACCTTTTTCCTAATAAATGAATCTACTAGTTTTGTACGTGGTGCTGGTATAAAGAATTGATGATCTTTTTGCCTTCTGATTTATTGGGAGGTAGACAGAACATACTCAAGTGTACACGAATCCTTCTAAGTGCTGCTCAGCATAACTTTCAACAGGGTCCAAATGTTCTGCCTGCAGACTCCCTCCTGTTGCATTTTATATTTTAAAATTCCTTGGAATATTTAGTTACATTTTCCAGTCGTAGATGTTCCCAACACAGCATTTGGGAGGGGCCTATGGATAATGCTGTTGCACACATTGAACGGGGTCCTAAAACATGGTAGTGATGCTGCATGAGTTTTGTAAACCGAAGTGTGTGCAACTGGTGCATCTGACTAACCACAAAACCAAATACATCCAGTTTAATATCTTCTGTTGTTGCACAGAAACTGACACTGCCAGCCATTCTAAAGATGTTGAAACCTGCATTTAAGAAATGTTTGCAGCTAGAACTGTCTAGTCTGATGTATTCCTGGAGGTTTCATTGAGTATATGATCTTCTACTCTGCCAAGTCAAACATATCTTTCCCATCTCTGATATTTGTCCAATTAATAAACAAATGTTTCTAACAAAGTACCTAAAAGTAGAAAGGTTTAGTTCCCTTTGCTTTTTTTTCCTGGGTTTTTTTCTATCCCAGGTAGCTAGAATAGCCTTTTAGTTCTTAGACTCTTCTGGGCAAACCTGGATGATTGACAGCCCTATATCAGTCAGATTTGTATTATTTCAACGACTGACATGAGCTGTGGAGAGGACAAATGCAAACAATAGGAAGTGCAAACCACTGCATCCTCAAACTGCTCAGACGCTGCTGCTGTAATTCAATCTCAGCATCTCATAAAATCTTGATTGATACCTGCTGTATATCAAGTAGACTTTCTGTACCTATGTGTGACTTAAGAAGTAATATATGTACATATACACATGTTTTGTATATCTATACGTATAAAGTAATGGTAGAATAATATATACTTGCAAATTATGATTTGTAACTAATGGAAGAACATTTTTATAAAAATAGTTTTAAACAACTTTATAATTCAACTTTTTTTTTGTAGCAAGAATGGAATGGTTGTGGAAATGGTAAATTTTGTAAATCCTCAGGCTGGACTAATGTATAGTAGTTGATGGAAAGAAGAAAGGAAAAAGCAGCTGTGAACAGCTTAAATATTAGTCATTTACGA